CGGGGAGGCAGTGCCCCCCAGCCCGCCCCAGCCCTTCCTGGAGCCCGCTGGGAGCCCGCTGCTCTATCGGCGCGCGTACTTCAGGCACAAGCCCTACCAGCGCCTCGAGTCCATCTGCCTCCGGTCCAGCGCTCCGGAGGGCCGGCAGCCTCCACTCCCAGCCAGCGGGCTCCAGGGCTGCGCCGCCACCTCGGACTGCAGCATGGCCTCCTCGGCGGTGGAGCCCTTGCCCCGGCCCAGCGGGAAAGGGGGGAAGAGCTCTCCTTCCGGCTCAGGGAAACACGCCGCCAGCCCGTACAAGCCAGTGCTGAACAAGAACGCCTTCCTGCGGCCGCACAGCGCCAAAGTGCCTTCGCTGCAGCTCCCGGAGAGCGGGAAACTGAAGAGCATCTCGCGCTCGCCCGCTATATCTTGGTCCCATTGCGGGGGGACCGGGGATGGCTCCCCCGCCAGTCTGGAGAACAGGTCTGGGAGAGGCAAAGGCCATAAAGCGGAGCAAGCCACCCCCAGGCCTCTCCTGTCTCCGGTGCAGCCCCTCCGAGCCGAGCGCCCCTTGTGGCAGGGCAGGGAGACCCGGGGGCAGAGTTTAAGAGCCAAGGAGCGAGAGATCCGGCTCACGGAAGCCGTGCGAAGGCTGAGCGGGAAGGTTAACAGCTGCAGCGACTTAGGCCGCAGAATCGAGAGCTCCTGCCTTATGAACACGGGCTTCCAGTACAACCTCTTCCGCAGGAGTGGGCGCTGGAGACAGCAGCTCCTCTCACAGCTGAGCCCAAAAGAAACGGTCGCCCCCTTGAATCTGGAGCTGGGGAGCCGGTGCCTGCGCAGCGACCTGAGCCTCGCGGGCCCCGAGGGGGCCGTCTGCACCAAGCGAATCAGCTTCCGCCTCTTAGCCTCCAGCTCTGACGCGTCAGGCCCCAGCGCCCCCTGCCGGACCGTCAACTTCCTGGCCCTGAGCGGCGGGGACCAGGCGGGGAGACCCGAGCCTGCCCACCACGCCGACGTCTCCGCAGTGGCAGCCCAGATGTCCACCATCCAGCTGGGCAAGGAGCCGGCGTGGGCGCAGGCCGCTCCCCCACGGGACCCAGAGTGAGTACACGGGGAAAAGCCCCTCGTGGGCGCCCTGAGAACTAGGGTTGCCAGATGGTTTAACAAAAACCACTGAACACGCCCCCTCCCCTAAGAAAACACCAGTCAAAAATTCCGTTGAGGAAAAACAAAGTGGGGGAGACCAAAGTTGTTGAGCAAAAACAAACTAACCAAAAAAGGGCACTGCGGCTCCTTTAAATGGCCCCGCGCTCCTCACTCCTCTGCCCCCACCTGCACGGCAGGGGAAAATTGTCCCCACCGGGCTTCCGTCCGAGGGAAACAGGCAATATTGTGCATTTCCCGTGTTCCGTAGTTTCTGGGTTTTTTTACCGGACCGGGAACCCGAATGACAGACAGTCCGGGTGAAAACTGGACACCTGGCAACCCTACTGAGAACTGAGTCCCCCGGCGTGTGGCCGCTTACGGGAAGCGATACTTGCGAAGCCAGGAGGGTGCCTGGGAGTGGTGCTGCCGTGGGCCGTGTGCCCCAGGCAGGGCGTCAGCCAGCATGCCTGTGTCTGCTCTCAGCGTACCTTGGAGCAAGTCCCTTCGCCACCCCGTGCCTCAGTTTCCCCAGCTGTCACTGAATGAGCACGGAGTCGGTATTACTGCCCTGGTGAGGGGGAAACTCCGACCTGAACCAGCTAGCCCTTTGGTGCAGAGGGTGCTGCTCAGGTTGGCTCCTGGGCGCTGGCTAAGGGGCCTGCGGAAAGGACAGGGCCGTGCCGGGCACTGCTGAGGGCTGTCTCTGCGGGAGGGCAGCGGAGCGAGGAAGGACCGGTGAGCTGGCAGTGTCCTGATGAAATCCCAGATCAAAGGGACCTCGCTCCCTTCACGGCTTCCCTGGGGCACTGCCTGGAGTTGCCCAGCGCGTCTGCCGGCTCACTCTGCTTCCTGCGTGCACAGGAGGCCTTTTGCCTGCCTTGGTCCCAGGGGCTCCGCTTTGCTCAGCTGCTCGGGCACCGCACAGCGAGGCTGGTGACGGAGCCGCATCTCAGGGGCAGCGCTCGGCTGTCCCTCCGCAAACAGCCCCTTGGACAGGCAGCCGTCGCGCTCCCGGATGTGTGTCCTCGGAGCTGAGGCCTCTGGCCCGATGTGAGCGCGGAGGGGACGTGGCGGGCAGGGGAGCGGAGCCTGCAGCCGAGGTCTCCCCAGAGAGGGGCCGGCGGAGCGGGAGGGATTGGAAGGGCTGCGGGGTGGAGGGGCAATCGAGTTGGATCCCCAGCGCGCTGGGTCCTGCGCGAAGGGCAGTAAGTAATCCCAGCACCTCCCCTGTGCGCTGGGTGTCGGGGCACAGTTGGCGAGCGGGACCCTCGTGGGTCACGCAGAGCAGGGTCTAACAGCCCGTCGCCCTCCCGCATGCCCGGGTACCATCCCGGGGCTCCCCCAGGGGCTGTCGGCGCTCCTCCCCTCCAGAAGTCTGAACCTGGGAGTAGCTGTAGCCGAGAGCCAGGCAGCCGGAAACCCCCCGGTGTCACGCCCTCGCCTCCCCTGCCGCGGCGCCAGATACCTCCGCCCGGCATGGCAGAGACCCTGCTCCAGGGCTGCTGGGCCAGCAACCAGCCTCGTGTGGGGCTGCCTGGGTGGACATGACCCTTCCCTGAATTCCTTGGGTTCCAGTGCGGCCGTCACCCTGCCCCTGCTGGACCCCGAGGAGCCTGAGGCTGATGTAGAAGAGGAGCTCCCGGATGGCCTGGAAGATGGCTGCAGCCAGGACGAGGAGGAGGAAGAGGGTGCGTGTGGCTGTGCCGACGGGCGCGGGGGCGCTCCCCAAGCGGCTGAGGGCGGGGGCTCGTGTCGGCCGTGCAGGGCCGGGCCGTGCTCTGCGGCTCCTGGGGAACGCTTGGCCTGGTCGTTGGGAGTTGGAGCTGGGCTGTGGCTGGCTGTGCGCAGGGCCGGGAGGCAGCGGGCGGGGAGCGTTGGTCTCCCACCCGGCCGGGCTCCTGCCCTCGCTGGGGAGATCCTCGGTGGCCCTTCATTTTCCCTCATCTCAGCATCCCCGGAGCCCCCTGGCCTCATCTCACGGTCTCCTCTCCTCCCTCCTGCAGGCGAGTCGGACAGCTCCTCCGTCACAGGCCTGTCGCCCAACGGCTCCGTGGCCCTTATCTCCAGGTGAGTGACTCTCAGCGGGGCCCACAGCCTCAGGCAGCCGTCGGCCCCTGGGCAGAGAGGAGCCGTTTCGGGTGAGGATCCGGAAGGCGTTGTGACCCGCTGCTGAGCGCTGAGGGCGCGGTGTCCCCGTACGGCCTGGTCTGTAACGAGCAAGGCCACCTGCAAGGCGAAGAACGAGCTTGCCCCTCGCCCCCGTCCCTCTGTTACCCCTGTGGACATGCCCCCGCTGGGCTTAGCCACGGCTCTCCCAGCACCTGGCCTCTGGCAAAGGAGTTGGAGGCATGTCGGTCCACTTTCCAGCCTGAGCCGGGGCTGGAGTGACGGGTGTAGCGGGGAGGGGGGTCGGAGAGCCGCTGAACCAGACGGCACACCGCTTCCAAACCAGGTCCCGGCGCCTGTGGTCAGAATACCCCAAAGCAGCCACACACCCGGCCCTGCGTGGCCCTTGGCACCTGCAGCAGGGAGTGACTAGCCCATGGAGACCAGCGCTTGCTCCGACCGTGCTCCTGGTGTGCGGCTAGCCTGGCCCCCGCCGGGCTGTGTGGGGGGGGGTGAGCTCAGGGACACTGCTGGAGCTGTGGGCAGTGACGAGAGGCAACGGGCTGATGGGGGGCGGCTTGGCCCCACGCTGGCAGCTGTAAGGGGTGGGCTGCAGATGGCTCTGGGCCTAGCTTCTCCTCCCAGGCGGGACAGCGGGGTGATCAGCCAGCCCGTAACTGCTCTGCACAGCCTGTCGTGACTGGCCACAGGTCAGAAATCCTTTCCCGGCACGTCACCGAGTCCCAGGGGGGCTGGTACTGAAGAGGGCTGCTGGGGAGCTGTACTGGGCTTTGGCTTCCCCGGAGGCTGCCGGGTGAGCAGGGTGCCTGTTTCTCCTTGACCCTCCTTTGCTAGGATAGCGAGCCTGGTGGCTAAGGGAGAAGCGGTGGACATGGCATAGAGAGGACGCTTAGGAAGTTTGCAGCTGATCCTGAGCTGGGAGGGGTGGCGAGTGCTCTGGAGGATGGGTCAGAATTCAAAATGGCCTGGACACTGGAGAAATGGGCTGAGGTCACCAGGATGAAGTTCCATGAGGACAAATGTCAAGTGCTCCATTTAGGAAGGAACAATCCGTGTCTCTCAGAACGGGAAGCCACTGGCTAGGCAGGAGCCCTGCAGAAAGGGATCGAGGAGTCAGAGGGGACCACAAGCTAAAGATGAGTCAGCAGTGTGACGCTGTTTCAAAAAAAGCCAACATGAGTCTGGGCTGCATGAACAGGAGTGTTGTGAGCGAGACACAGAGTCGTTCTTCCGCTCTGCTCTGCGCTGATCAGGCCTCAGTTGCAGTGTTGTGTCCAGTTCTGGGCACCGCGTCTCAGGAAATATGTGGAGAAATGGGAGAGGGGCCAGAGAAGAGCCACACACATGATGAAAGGTCTGGAGAGCACGAGCTAGGAAGGGAGGCTGAAGGAATTGGGCTTGTTGAGTTTAGAAAAGAGCAGGCTGAGCAGGGACAGGAGAGCGGTTTTCAAGTACCTAAAAGGGTCTCACAAGGAAGAAGGAGAAAACTTGTTCCTCTTGGCCTCTGAGGACAGGACAGAAGCAAGGGGCTGAAACTGCAGCAAGGGAGGTTTAGGTTGTGCATGAGAGAAAGCTTCCCACCTGTCAGGGGGTGACACACTGGGATAAGTTGCCTGGGGGGTTGTGGAGTCTCCATCCCTGGGGATATTTCGGAGCAGGTTGGACAGACGCCTGCCAGGGATGATCCAGACGGGAGGGCCAGGGACTGGACTCGATGCCTCGCAAGGTCCCTTCCACTTCTAGGATTCTCTGGCCCTGTCGTCAGGGCCTCATCTCATGTCCTGCCCAGCCCGGTCTCCTCACCCGCCCTCGCTTCTTCTTCCAGGAATTGTATCGCGTGTCTGGCCCAGCCGCTCGAGGCCCCGGAGCGGATCCTCAAACCCCCTCTCGTGTGCAGTTTGTTCCCTAATATGCCTCCGACCCTCTACTTCAGTACCCGGGACGAGAGAGGTGAGCTGGGGCTGAGCCCCGCTCCGAGTGCCGGAGCAGGCAGGGTAGAAGGAACCGGGCGTAGCAGTGGGGGGCTGTGGAGCGGTGATACGCCAGCTGGGCCTCCCTTCTCGTCCTGTGCTAAAAGAGCAAGTAACCCACGAAGAGCACCCCCCCTCGAACAAAGAGCCCCTGGAGCTCCTGGTGACCGCTTCCCCAGGGCTAAAATAACCCCAGGGCTTGAACATCTGTGGGGGAGGAGAGGGCAGCAGCTGATCCCGAGCCGGTGCCAGGAGCGCAGCTCTCTCCTTGCGGGGCTCGCGCTTGGCTTTGCCCAGCTGATGTTTCTGGCTTCCAGGCAGCTGAGCCGGACAGCTGGCTGCTGTGGGGAGCGCTCCGCGGTGACAGGCAGCCGGTGCCTGGGTGGCGGTAGTGGGCGTGAACATGTCTGCAGCCTTCCCTGCGTGAGGCACCGAGGGCACTGGGCCACGGTTTCCTTCAGCTAGCGCCCGTCTCGGGGATCGCTGGGCCTGTCCGAGCTGCGTCCGGCACGCTCCTCCCTCAGCGGCCCCAGGCTGGGGAAGGGATCCGGGAAA